TTCTGTCTCCAGGTGACTTTTTAATGTAGCTGACTCGTTTTGGACGTGATGTCGAGAACAAATTTAATTAAATGAAAGCCTTGTGGGTTCTACGCTTGTACCAACCAGTCAACCTGCAGCTTACATGTCTGTCCAGACTCATATTACAAATGCATGTAACACTTAAATTAAGGTATCTAATGTATTTTTTTCTTTTGGCCAAAAATGGGACCTTTAATCACCTCATCTAAGTGAATGTTTTCACCAGTTTCTCAGAAGGTTCCTGTGAGACGTTATTTAGGTATCATGTTCATGAGAGTGGGATAAACAGACAAGCTAAAAACATTATTCCTCCAGACAATAAGGGGGAGGGTTATGTCAAGGGTATTTAGAGGTATTGGTAAGTACATGAGCTGGTTAATTGCTTTATGCTTTATTTCATTAGGATCTTAACAAAAGTCGGATAACTTGGTTAGGGTGTTTACACGAGCATTGCAATAATCAGAGTATTGCCTTACTCTGGTTTTAATGTCATTATTAGAGGAGCCAGTAAAGCTGTTGTCTATATACAGGTTTGGGCATGTGTAAGTGTGTGTCTGCTCCGTGGAGCCTGTTGTTCCGGTTAGCACAAGCCACACTATCAATACACAGGAGTAATTAAACAATGCTGCACTAATTACTCCTGTGAAATCTAGCATTTTTTCGATAGATAGCACACACACACACACACACACACACACACACACACACACACACACACTGGTGACCTCCCTCCCTTCGTCTGGCACCACGTGTCACAAACCAGGCTGTGGCTTTTAAAAACTGCTCATTTCTCTTTTTGTGCACTTGAGAGGATGGAACACTCTTTTTTTTCATACACATCTCTAACCTTGACTAGGACAAAGACTGCTTCCCTCCCTTATCATCATCATCATCATCATCATCATCATCCTAATGAGAGTGGGAGTCTTTGCCTCAGGTAAGGGCCTTGCTTTCCCAGCCTCTGAGGGGAGGGGGCCAATTCATTTCTACCTCGGTTGCAGTGTCCTTTAAATTAAACAAATTAATGAACCTTTAATAGCCGGGCTATTTCACCTGGGAAATGATCGGGGGGTTTGTGCGTACACTAGCCTATAAACACACCAACTGGACTGACCACTGACACACACACACACACACACACACACACACACACAAATTACACTTAATTAGTTTCATGGGAACACATACAAATGCGAGCTCAATAGCGGGCATATGTACGTACAAGACAGCATGCAGTGCCATGCACATTACCCTTCTCTGTGTTAGCAGGCTGCTGAGATATACCTCAGTGAAACTGCTGACTTGAAATGAGATGCTAAATCAATGGAAATGAAATCATAAATAACAATACAATAGACCCCACTCCATATGCTAATATAAATGTACATGCATTTTTGTCATGACTTGAGTTCCGTACACAGAATATCCGTCAAAATGCGACTTCCAATGTTGATCTCACTCAGTTATCAGATCCTAAATCCAGACATAACCTGTAAAGCGTAAGCACTTAGCAAGATTTTAACTCCTTAGCTGTAGCTCACACAGGTATTCACGGACTAAATAAATAAATATTATTCTGCTTCCCTCTCATTCCATGGATCTATGTTTCTGAGAGCGGAGCAAAGAATAAATTAGGGTTGAGAAAAGAGTTACATTTCATGTAAGCAGCAGCAGTTGGACATAAAGCAAGGAAATTACATAATAAAACAGGGAGGCATAAAAAAGAGAAGATAGAGGGTGAATTCTTTCCCACACAATAGCTTCTCTTTAGATGTAAATCCAACAGTGATTCACGTTTATCAGAGGTGCTGCACTGAGACGAGAACTTGACAATTGAGCTGAAAATGTGTCATAACAGTTAATCTCTTGACACCAGGCAGTTTCACTTTACCTTGTCACAACTTCATCCTGTGAAATAACAAAATCTAGAGCACTAAATTCTGACTCTACGGTGACTCCATTTCTGAAGCTACTGCTTTCATTAGACCACGATGGTCGAGATGTCTCACAACGCGTATTAACGGAAAACACGAACACACAAAAGACACAACACAACCGCAAAAGTCACAACAGATCTGCCAAAGCCACACAACAGAAACACAACCAAATTGGAAGTGAGCGACGACGAGCAGAGGGATGTAATGTGGTTAAGTCATGGAAGTATGAATCAAGTGAACCTTGTGAAAACAAAGGTGTTAAGGACAAGATTCTTTAGGCCTCAAAAATGGACATAGCTGGAAAAGGGCTCGACTGGGTATTTGCGAACGACGGCTCACTCGAACACAGAGAGTAACTCTGTTTGTTTCATTGACAGCATCTCATTTCACTCACTTCCATTGTGATTGTGTTACCATTGTGTGGCTTTTTGTAGTTGTGTTGCAGCATTTGCCAACGAATTAAACCGCTATGATTGCAATATTAATATTACTACTATCATTTCATTTCATATGAAATCATATCATAGACATGCATGAGAAAGAAGCGACCCAGCCCCCCCCTGGGAGATGTATGCATATCAGGTGTGTCATGAAAGGCGACTTGACTCGTCTTCTCACCAGCCAGGCACTCTTTGAGTGACAGAAGGATTAACAGTTCCCATGGCAACAACATCTTCATTTTCCAAGGTCAAAGATTCTCCTTCTTCCCATCCAGTTGCCAGAGAGTGGAGAATATTTTCCTGCTTTCTTCTCCCTGTGGGGGAAAAAGGGGAGAGCAAATGAGAGCAGTGAAGATGAGGAGATGCAAAATAAAAAAACAGGCTGAAAGTTGTGGAAAATCGGTGAACCATTAATAATTCATTCAACCGAAATAAGCACAGCCAAGATACAATGCCGAAGAGCCAGCTAGCAGCTGATACTGAGGAGCTGATATTTAGTGTATACATACTGCTGCCACGCTATCTCCCAGGAGCAAGTCAAGGAAAAAAGAGCAGAGGCTCACAGCAGCAACAGATGAGTAGAACATCCTGCCAGTGGTAATGCTAAGCTTCCTTAAAACTGTTGGTTCAACATATTTACTCTATAGCAAAATGTGTGATGTGTTAAGTGTAAGTTATTTAGCTACAGCATCGCAGGGAATGCCAATGAATAAACACACACATCGAACTGATTTTTTTTTTTAAACATTCAAAGTCCTGCAGTCAGCACATTGTCCATGGATCATGACGCCTGGATTTACTGACATTGATTCCAAAAGTGTACTGTGTGCAGGTATACTCTGCTTTGACTTCATCTGAAGACGGGGCTGCTCATTAAACGCTACCTGGGAGGTAATTAAGGAGTTTGTGGGAGTTCCAAATTGTGTACTGAAAATTATTGTGGAGTGATTCATGGCTTGACATTGATTAACAGCAACGATTAACAGTGCCATATCCAGATCCGTTCACTTTGTCCAGCTCACATTAAATACTCTCAACAAACAACAACAAAAAGAAGACAGAAGTAGAATCAAAGAAAATGGTAACCATCCATGCTGGCTGCTCAGTTGCTGCTACCTGACCAGTTTGGAACAGACATGTGCAATTATATATGGATTGACACAATAACACAAGTGCTTTTGTTCCTCATTTCCTGAATATCAGTCAAAAAAGGTTTGACAAGTGACCTGTTTAACTGTTGGTGGTTTTATGGTCAAACCTAAATTGTGACATTTGTCCTCAGCTTTAATTTGTCCTTCAGCTCTGTGTTGCTGTTGTAAATTGTTGCAGACAGATGGATGTAAGAAAACTGTGCAAATCACTAATCACAGCGGGAAGGACGGAGAGAAAGCTTGAGCTGTGTGGGAAGTGAAGTAGATTTATTTCGCTCTTCATTATTTAGCCGTAGAGGGCACAAAACTGATCATCCGAGCTTCATCCTGTCAGTCATCATTATTGATTTTGGTTGAAGATCATTGACTTTTTTTTTTTAACTGTTTTTTTGTTTGTCATTCTTTCCACGGCCTTGTCATGCGTCTCAATCACATATGGAAGTCTTGATCAATAATGGGAGACTTGGTTGATGTCTTTCCTTACGAGACTCTCCATGTTGATATATTCCTGTGTGCTGGAGAAAGCCGATGAAGAAACTATATCCAACAGTAACAATAGAAGCCACATGCTTCTGACCTACTTGGAGAACTGTGAAATGTTCTCTTCTTCCAACAAACTGTTTTGCACTATTCTCAGTCTCCTTGAGAGTCAAAGGTACTTATGTGTTGATTAAGGTGCTGGCGAATGAGCACATTGTGAATGAGACAAAGCTGCATATGGTAATTAGAGTTAGATGTAGGGCTTTTATTATGGCCTCTGAGAAACTTTAAATCGATGTGAAATGTTTTCCAGACATTTTGTCAAAACGCCTATCTGCGATCGATGCTGTTATGGGCCCGCACCTGTAACTAATTCCAAATCAATATGTTTTAAAATTCAGAGGAACCCAGAACGAGTCAAATTACGCTCTGAAGAAAACACAGGAAAAGCTCTGCACCTTGAAAGTGCTCTCAGCTTCATGACTGACAGTTACAACCAGAAACCTCATAAATCTTTACACGTGAAAAAGGATGAGGTTCCTCATATTGATCAAGCTGATTTGGTAAATATGTCTCAACCATTTTGAAGTCGACTTTGAGCATGAGAGATTTGGAAGCTCATAAGGAGAAGCATTTACTCCTCACTGCAGCATGATCAGTAGATCTAACTGCACTATTTGAGATATATAACTTCTATCCACATTAATGCCTGCATTATGCATTCATGCATGTGGAGTGAAGACAGATCATTTGCCTATACGAGGATGCTCTAAGAGGAATTGCAGCCATTGGTATTTAGAGGATTGTGAGGATATGGGAACCATTTAAGTCCATTGAAAGAGGTTGAGGGTGTCTAACAAGCCCCTGCAGCTATGACTCATTAGCGCACGTGCTCTGCCCAATGATCGATGTTAATTTATGTCCGCTGCAGTCAGCTATCCACTTTCACTTTCAAGCTAATCAACTTTATTTCGTCTCCTCGCAAACACATGTCCTCTTTGTTCATTTAGCATTCAAAGTCAGACTTGGGCACTTGATTGCACTTGCAGCCAGACAGTAGCTGTTGTGCATGGTGCGGAAATGCAGAGGCCACAATCCTGTAAGGTATAAAGGAGAGGGAGCTGGCACTGCTCCCCTGTCAGATAGCACAACTCTATTTTAATGATGCATAGGTCCTTGGCATCCTTGGGGAGGATATGTTCCTTGGTCACAGTCCAGAAATTTAAAGTAGTTGCTTGTGATTCCCATGATTAATTTATATACCCTAGAAAAAATACAATGGTAATAATTCTTGTGCCCAGTGGATGGTGGTCGCAGGTGTCGGAAATACCAAATGGGATGAGGCCAAGCTAATGGTGCCTGGAAGGGAAACTATCTGTCAGGGATAATCCCTAATACTGTAACACCCGGCTTAGATAATGTGCTCGCCCTGCCTGTCTCACTAGGCTGTGATATTGAGATAGCTGTGGAGAAATGATTAAACGGGGTATGGACATTGACTCGGATATATGTACATATCCAGAGTGAAGTTTTGCCTGGTTTAATGTTAAGTGATGATGAGCTTGCCACCCTGGAATAGCCAAACTACGCAAAGAAAAAAAAAGAAGGTGGAGGGTGTCCTGTGAACTCTGGTGAGTCCTGTTCTGCTCCATTACGCTCTGAGTAACTGGTTAATCACGTGACTGCAGAAATTAACTTCAGCAGCCTGGGAAGAGGTAATTAATCCTTCTTTTTTTCTGCTCTTTTAAAATGATAAATGTGACATTCAGCACTGCACAGAGCACAACAACATCAACCTGGCACCACCTACTCATGGCTCACAGTGTCAACACTCAAAACAGCTTGGCTCATTGTGGAGATTATTAAATAAACTAATATTCAATTTAAAATACATCTTATCTGCACAGGCTTCAGCTTCATCACAAAAGGTGTCAGAATGTAAATTGCCAGATGAGCCTCCTGATCTCAGGTTACAGTGCATCTTATCCAGTCAGCCACAAGGGAGCACAAACACAGCCGCAGCTCAGGTTGCAGCCTGCTGCTCATTGTGTTTAAGGGCATAATACACATCGACTAAGAGAAGGGGGAGGATTTTGAACACACAGTCAACCTCACATGACATTTTGGAGTGGAATGATCTTAGATGCAGAAATACAGAAGATACAAAGAGCCTTGGTGGTCTTTAGTTAACTTGTGCTTTCATGGGAGAGAGTTGGGTCAGGATTTATGATGAGCATACAAGCTCTATATTTCATTTTCACTTTTCAGAAGCCAAGGGTTACACGTTTTAAGCGCTCTCCTTTAAGTCTTAGATGTTGGCAGCGTAAATGCTTTCTCCTAGAAAATGGCTGATATGACCTTATTGCAGATGCAGTTTATCAGTTTCGACACGTGCCGGACGAAAGTTAACAGGAAACAGCAGATCAGCCCGACAAGAGATATGTTCAGACAGTTTCTCTCTACCATGGTGAGTCCACCAGAGCACACTGACTTTATGTGCTATGGTGTAAACTACGACAGAGTATTAGTGCCACACGCAGAAAAACAAATATCGCAGCAATAAAGTTGTAATTGAGAATAAAGTTATAATACAGCAACGTAGGTCATAATTGAAAGGAATGTCGTAATATTAAGTGAACAAAGTTGTAATTTAGTGAGAAAAGAACATTATGAGAATAAAGTTTCAATTTTATGAGAGTTAAGTCCTCAAAAGGGGCAACTTCCACCAAGTCCATGGGTTTCTTTCTTCAGAGTAGAACATTTCTGTCAGAATCTTTTTAATGTCCTGATACTTAGGATAATGTTTGCTGATGAAGATTTAAGTATTTTGTTATTTGTGAACCTAATTCTAAAGAATAATTTAACAACATGCTCTATTTCTAATTTCTAATGCAGGCAACAGGATGATCTTTTGATATCCCCCCTCTGAAATGACACAAAGACTATTACTTTATTGTTATGTTACAACTTTATTCCGAAAATCTCCAATTTTTTAAATGGCCTGATAGTCACAGCTTCTTCTTTTTTAGCTTGACACACCTCATTCACAATTTAAACCCAGTGTCCACATTGGATGAGGGTCCAGACTGTGGTGTAGAGCCACAGAAACTGATGGCTCAGTAAACTGCCAGTACACAGAAACATCTTTTATTTATTCAACTGATCAACACTCCACATTAAACCTTCTAAATCCCCAGGTGGGCTTGTGAGCATGGTGAGGTGCTATTCTACTGATAGTAATTGTATTATTTATATCATTATGTCTGACACACATTTTACCTTAATCACTTTAGCTCCACAAACTTAAAATACTGGATGGTTTACCTTGCTCAGGCCCAACCCTGCAGTACACATAACATATAATGTTAAGAAGTTCATCATAGCACACTGCATGTAATCGATGAACCCCATAAAAAACAATCAATCTAGAATTAATAGAGCAGAACACGTGCGTATATCTGCCCCACACACACATTTCAAAGAAGAGGAGATCACACTATATGCTCTGACTGCTCCTGTACCTGGAAAAACAGCAACGGTCGCATTCATTTATAGCATGTAATAAATAAAACAGCCCAACAGACAAGCATGTTTCCCACTGATGGAGTACTCACTGAGTAAGTGGAGTCGGCTCGCTATTCCACAGCAGCAAAGACACAATCAACCCTTTGGCCAGCTAAGAGAGAGAGAGAAGGAGAGAAATGAAAAGAAGATCGAAACAGAGTTAAGGTTTTCTGTATAGCAGAGGGGATATAATCTGCAAGATGCACTAGGATTTGTGTTGCCCCTTCACCTTTCCATGAGAGGAAAGCATAGTGTAGGTGTCAGGACGTACGGATGGATGTTAATCCTATAACAGTCTACAATATATATATATATATATATATATATGTATGAGAATTATGAGTTCACTGCTGGCAACAATGTAACAGTATTTGTTTATGGGCTTATTCAATCAGCATTAAATGATTAAACAGACTCCCTGCGTCTTTGTTTGAACAGACACTACTGTGGCATAATTTATCTGAATCATTCCTACATTATAATCATAAAATATATATTTACATTATAAATATAGTAGAAACAGTATATAGTAAATATGCTAACATATCAGTTACCCAGGCACAGATATGTCACTAAAACATATGATAAGCAGAGTTTAGGATACATTTTAAATATTGTTTATGCCCCTATCCTCCTATATTGTACTTCTAATGTAAAATGAGGAGAGAAGCTAACAAAGGTGTAGCTTTCCTATAACAGGAAGCTACACTGAGCAGCTGCGCCTCCAAATAAGACCATTCAAAGGTTAAAGTCTAACATTATATGGGACATAGGAACAAATATTAGCCCCACTTCTCTGAATATGGGAATACATGTCCACAAGTGATGACATATTATCAGGAGAAAAAAAAGCAGATATCCCAAATATGTAGTTCTAGACACACACCAAAACTAATCATAATGACCTAGATGTCTACACTGGCACCGTTGAGGCCTCAGTGTAATTTGGTTTCCAGCAAGACCAACCTCAGCACAGCTATCTCAAGAAGACCGGTTGACTCTGCAGGTGTATATAGAACCAGCCCAGCTTGCCCTGGCCACAATAAAGGAATCACTTTATATTCTGCAGTTGCCCAGCTATGAATACAGAGTATCTTCATGCAGCCGTTGTGAACATCAGAGGGGAAACTTGTCTTTTCTTTGAGAAAAGCAAATGGAAAACATTTTTACACCAAGGAAAAATAGGTAACATATCCTAGGTATTATGCAAGAACTGTGCTTGAGGAAAATAAGAACCTTGCTATAAACAGCCTCCTTTGGGAACTTCTTTGGGAGAGGGGAAACTTTTCAACAAGGGGGAATGTATTGAAATTCAAGACTAAGTTCATTCAAAATTTTAACATGCACACCCATGTTCTGCATAAGCAAATGTTCAGTTGGTGCTGTCCTCATTATGTTGAATTATTCAGGCAGGCCAGACCCAGTTTGTCAAATTTGGAAACTACACTGACTTGATTGTTGATGACTTTTCATGCGCCTGCAGTTTTCAGTTCCTCAAACACGGCTTTATGTTTTTCGGCTGGTTAATATTTTATGTCATTGACGCTCCAGGAATCCATAAATAGGACAAAAGTTGCAATGACAAACTCTGAGCATTTCAGCTCATTGTTTTGGTTTTTATGGCAGATTTTTGGTATGTTTCCTCACACAGGTCCCAACAACCCTCAAGCAAACACCTGTTTTCAGCAAATATTCTCGGCGAGACCTAACTTTACACTATCACCTCCAAACAAACAGGAAAGGCCAGGAACTAGAAATGCAGCAGCTAAAGGCCTACATTATTTGAAGAGATGATGATGACGACTCAAACCAGGCTAATATGCAGGCAAAAGTCAGAGTTACATTTTTCAGATGGACAGAAATACAACTCTATCAACAACATACAAATGACTTGCATTAATGGAGTGAGAGTAAAGTTTTGTCTCTCTCATCCATACAGAGTAGTGCAGTCTCAGCCACATAGATCATTCAGTCGATGCACCGATCAGATAACCACTATAACAGCATGTTCCTGTCTCTTTATGTGTGAACAGAAGAACAATGGTTAATTTGTGGGCATCCAGACTGGCAACAGCCCAGTATCGGTGAGGATTTGTCGTTTTAACTACGAGTGATGAAAATGAAATATAATCCAGAACTTCCAGTCTGAGTAGTAATAACATATCTGTGAATTTGAAGGCTCATCTGACATTCAAACTGTGCACAATGCTTTATTGCCACTAGTCACTTATTGACAACAACCAGTAACCAAAATGAAACATGACTATTTTATTGGATAAACTCCATTTATTTTTTTTATTTCCAGGCAGTGCTCTTACATACTGTAATGTCTTCATGCTCTCCTACTTTCTTTCAGAGCACCCAGCTTCTATGCACAGGTTTCTCAACCCTGTTAAGAGTTGAAGGGACTGCGTGAAATATAATACATTAGAAAGGCTGTGTGAGTCACATTCACACAGTAGGTCTATATTAAGCACTTCTCTATCACATCCAATTCACACGCTGCCAGCAGAGCCATATGTGGCAATTCAGGGTTCAGTATCTGGCCCAAAGACATTTCAACATGCGAACCGGAGGAACCGTGGATCGAACCACTGATCTTCTGAGCAGTGTGCGACATGCTCTACCTGCAGAGCCACAGACCCCCCACATCCACGTATGGGGAAGCAGATGTTTGCATGAGGGAACAGCAACAAGACACAACATATGCATTTCGTTTAAGTGTAAATGTTGTTTTTTTTTTTATTATTGTCTTCCTACACATCACTTTGTGTTGTCTAGATTAAGTCACTTTTCATTTGAAATGGAATGAGAGTTAAATAAGTAAAGGGTGGAGTAAGGGAAAGAAATGAAATAATCAATGAAGCTTTCACATAAATTAATTAGAGCTGACAAAGTTGACTTTAAAGCTGTTGCACGCTGTTTATTTAACAGGGATCAATCACATTAATTCCCTCTTCTCCTGGTTGGGTCTACCAAGTTGCATTAGAGGCTTTGTGTCTAACGAGGGGACTACAGAGAGATGGGATGGGAAGGCTGAACCATAACCCAGAAAACTTTCTGAATAACAAATGTGATAAAAAGTAGGATACCCTACCAAGAACATTTCTTTCCTTGTAACAGAAGCACAAGGTCTTCAGCTTCACACCTGAAAAACACTAATGATACTTAGCATTCTTCACCAGACATCTGCTGTGTGTTGGGTCCTTGCCTACGAGTATAACACAGCTGAGAATATCAAATAAAGTGTATTTGGTCTCATTTTAACTCAGATTGTGGAAACAGTGTGATTCTAGCAGGAGCGCAGTGGGATTAGTTTTCAGCTCGGGAGTTTCACACCCCAGACCAGCTCACTTCACTTCACTGCCTTCACATACTGAATACAAGGCACTCTTTTTAAAAACCATTATTTTTTAATTGTATTTATCTTTGTTAGTACAGCTATACAACACTGACACATGGATATACGTGTTGCACTGTTCTCTGCATCTGTTCACACCATCGTCTCTTTTTTCACTTGCATGAAGTTAACATTAATGAATGCCTGAGCAGTGCAGCAGTCTATGAAACACAAAGTCAAATAAAAACATCAATATATGTGCATTTTTCCACCCTCCCTACAAAAGGCTTTGCATGGTACAATTTACTATAATTTTTTTTTATATCATACATGTTATGTGGGAATGTAACCAGCACCACACCTGTCTCATCCCCATCAACTCCTGGCACTCAGACTGTACCTTGACTGGGCTGCGAGCTTGTTTTCCAAACAAGCTGCTGAATTCGGCACATTTGGCACGTGAGCTTGTAAAGCTTTTTATTTTAACTCTGGTCTTTTCAGCTCGTGGCTCCATCGTGTTTTTTTAATCTCCTCTTCTTCACTCACATCCCCTCATATCACATCTATGGTTGTAATCTAAATGACGCATGATGTCCAATATCATTACACTTCACACAGCATGTATGGGTCTAAGCAGAGTGTGCCATGGTTAAGTTATAATCGACTGCTTAAAGCTGTTGTGAGATCCTCTATCTATAAAACTGTTGTGTTGAGATCAGCTTTTGCAACAACCAGCCCACCAGGAATCCTCCCGTAACCCCCAGTCAGCTACTGTAATCCTAAATCCAGAATGTCATTAAATATTCACCAAACTCTTCCAACCAATCTCAATCACCAAAACAACCCTGATCATTATGGAGATTAAACCTATGGCAGAGTCAGGATGAAAATACATTTGTTCCATTCATTGTTGTAAACATGGTTTGTCTGCTAGGAAAAAAAGGGTTTGCTTTGAATTGGAGGAAAACTGAGAAAAAATGAGTAGTTATATGAAGATTTTAATTTCCTCAGCAGAAAATGACCCAGCACAAGCACCAGCATAAAAACAAATTAGTAAATACAGGATGAAAAGGATGAATCAAGGACGATTCAGATTACTTTTTCAGTTAATCAAGTAAAGATAAATATTAAAATGTTTCGTTTTTGTGCTGATCTGTGGGTTATTATCCTTTGATAATGACTGTGAATGAGCACACATTTAAAATATGAATTAGAATACATTACTCTGACATCATTTGTTTGTGTCTTTCCTTGTGTCCAGAAGTATCTGAGGACACTTCTATATTAGTCACCTTGAAGATTGAGATGATAATTCTTCTGTACCTCGGTATAATTCTTTGGGAAATCATTTTGAAACAGTGTCATGTGTGTTTGAATGTTCCAGATCTTTCTCTACCTCTACACGCACTGAACATTTATTTCAGGCCCCTCTGGAAACCTCACTAAGTGCTCACAGCAAGAGAGTCACATCACAACAGCTGTACAGATTATGAATGATAGGGAAACTCTCCTCACACACATGAAAGGGCCTTGAATGAATAATTCATCGTTTCAAATTTCATCCTTCCAAATATCCAACTGTGTCGCATCAGGCCTGTCCTCTCCAGCCGATTGCTCACAGTGATATAAAGTAATGCATTTGCTGGTCTGAGATCTGCAGTCCATTTGTTGCAAAGACCAGACTCTTAAATTATTTGGAAAATGATGAAGGGGAAACAAAGAAGAAAAAATAAAGTTATCTGCTA